GTAGTTTGGCATGGTTTGTGGGATTAGTCAGAACTGCATGAAGGTTTTCTGGTGGACATACCCGGTCAAAGATCTTCCTTAGCATAAGTGATCCAACTTCAACAAGAAGGCGACAGAGCTGGGCATAATTAGAGGTCTCCTTGGTAGAAGGTTGTGATGGGGTGGCAGAAGCCATGAAATCAAGTCCTCTGTAAAGAAATGTTTGTAATTAATACATGGAAGGCAACATTTATAGAGCACACACAATAATTATTACTTTATTCTAACTTTGCAACACCAGAATATTACAGCACTCAAACAATGAGTTAAATATCATGCAACAGATCAATAAAATAAGTTTGCTGCATCTTCCATTTTAACCCTTTAACCTCTAAGAGCTGTGATTGGCTTCTAATTTCTCCTTACAGTATCAACCTTGAATCAAATGTATGAGTCACAAGAATAAAGGAGATCATCAAAAATTTAAAAAGTTCCTGATTCTCACCTCACACTTTATCTATTTTCTCATATTCAATATACAAAATATTCCTTCAACTTGCAGATAGCAGATGCAAATCCTGGCTGGTCAAATTTTTTCTTAAGATTGCTGTCAACAAAATAGGCTGCCTTCTGGAAAAATCTTCCTACTTGTGCTACTACTAATTAAGGAAACTGTTATTAACAGAGATCTTCAGTAGATCATTACCCTTGCGAACTGAATTCCCAGTTTTCTGGGAATTCCTAGGAATTCCTAGGAATTCTCAAAAATTCCCAATTATGCAAATGACCCTTGCAAACTGAATACCAGTTTTCTGGGAATTTCTAGGAATTTCTGGGAATTTCTGGGAATTCCTAGGAATTCCTAGGAATTCTCAAAAATTCCCAACTATGCAAATTAACTCTGATTTAAAAAGCTTGGAATTACTGGGAATTTCTGGGAAAAGAAGACTCCAGTTTTGTGAGGACTTGGTATCCCTAGGAATTCCTAGGAATTCTCAGCTTTACAAACTACCTATAATTTAAGAAGTGTGGAACTCTTGGGAATTTCTGGGAATTGAATTTGAGGCAATTTTAATACCCTGAGGTCCACATAAATTCTAAGAAATTCTCAATACCTTGAATGTGAAGGTTTTAAGAAAAAGGGTCATTTCAGAGGCTTAAAACTTTGGCTCAATAAAAGGTATGCTATACAAAACTTACCAAGAGATATACATACATGTACATGTTTATTACTTAAAGATCATGAAATTTATTACTCAAACTAAGTTTTAGTAAATCTTTACATCAATATGGATTTTCTCATGAACCAGCTGTCAGTTATGTTAAATGGAAATTGCCAACTTCCACAATAATTACATTGTTATCTTACTTCCCTAACCTACATTACTGGTTGCCTTTGTTAGAAAACCTTGGAACAGTCAAGCTCAGTTGCCTCAAACACTGTCAGAGACTTTTTGTTGACAATACTTTTAGTAGAAATTTCATGCCTTAGACAAACAAATTCAACACCTAATTTATTTTTCTTTTTTCATGATTGTTGTTGCTGCTTTTTTTTTCAGTTTTTTGCTCTATTTTCATGACTAATTGCTGTAATTTGTTTTGCTGTTTTTATTCTTACAAAACATTTTTGTAAGAATTCCAATACTTGTGGATCATCCACACACTTTGCAAACATTTGGCATGCAGACAAGACAGAGGTAGTCAATGTTCTCTTTGAGGAAAAACACCTTTTATATGACGTCTTCAATTTACTTTATTTGAAACTCTGATCTGAAAATATTTGTCAACAAGACTTGTTAGTAGTGAGAAGTACCAACTGTAACGAGAGCACACTCGTAGATCACGTGCACCTCAGGTGACACATGATACAGCGGTCGATGTTATCTAATCAAAAAAGGTTTTAGATCTCATATATCTACATGAGAGCGCACTTAGTTTACAAATAAAGACTGTTCGTTACCTAGAAATCGTGTGTTTATGGTAGAACGAAACATGGTGTCAGGAGTGTAGCCTCTTCGACACGATGACAACTACACCACCTCAAGGTTCAGCGAGTGTTCAAGCGCCGACGCCATGTTATGGAATACAAAGCAATTTACCAATTCCGTCGCGATTGAATTTGGCAGGAAATATTTCAGAAAACTGGAAGAAGTGGAAGCAAGTGTGGGATTCGTTCGAAATCGCCTCACGTCTTAACCAGCAAGAAGATAAATACCGTGTAGCTACTTTCATTACCTGCATTGGAACCGAAGCCCTCGAAGTCTACAATGGTCTTCCGTTCGAAAACGAAGAAGACAAGGACGTAATGAATACAGTTCTGGAGTTGATGGAGAGGCATTGCATTGGCCAAACAAATGTCATTTACGAGCGATACTGCTTCAATAATAGAAAACAAGAAAGCGGCGAATCATTTGACACGTATCTCACAGCGCTCAAAACTCTCGCGAAAACGTGCATTTTTGGTCCACTCACCGACGAATTAATTCGTGATAGGATCGTCTGTGGAATTTGTGACACGGGAACTAGGAAGAAATTACTACAAGAGCCCAAATTAAATCTTCAGAAGTGTATCGATGTATGTCGATCAGCCGAAACAACTGCATCGCAAATGAAAGTCATGAGTGGAAGAGAAGAAGTCAACGCACTCAACCACAAAGAGAAAAAAGACGGCAGAGACGCCAGTCCTAAGTTAGTTAATTGCAAATACTGCGGCAGAAAACACGAGAGATCAAGAGATAAATGCCCAGCGTTCGGAAAAGAATGTGCGAAATGCGGCAAAACAAATCACTTCGCCAAGCTATGTAAACAGAAACTTGGTGGGCGACAACGAAGAAAAGAACGGATTCACCGAGTGCGAGACGCAAAAACTTCGCAGGATTCGAGCGATGAAGAGTACTGCTTCACGATTTCATCCCAAAATCTGGAAGAACAAAGTGTCAAAAGTGTCAGTAGTCAACCCATCAAATCGAAAATCTTCGCAACAATGGAGATCAAAGGTCATCCCGTTCGTTTTCAAGTCGACAGTGGCGCCACCTGTAATGTGATAAGCAAAAACGATTTACCGAACGAGTGCCCGATCGCGCATTCGAAACAAGTCCTCAGCATGTTTAACGGATCGAAAATGGAAACCATTGGTAAATGTCGTGTTAATCTGGTAAATCCCAAGGTTGATGAAGAATGCGAAACAGAGTTTGTTGTTGTCAATAACGACTGCACGCCACTGTTGGGTTCCAAAACGGTGCAGAAAATGAAATTAATCAAAGTGCGTTACGAGAATATCTCATTGGTACAAGAAAAGACAGAAGCAATGGGCCTAACGATGCAACAAATAGCAGCAGATTTCCATGACGTTTTCACTGGAGAAGGAAAATTTGAGAAGAAACTTCACTTAGAGTTGGACACAACCATTGAACCAGTGAAACAGCCGGTTAGAAGGATTCCAGTGGCAATGAAACCCAAGTTAAAGCAAGAGCTCACTCGTCTCGAAGAACTTGGTGTTATCAAAGCAGTTGACACTCCAACAGATTGGGTCTCAAGCTTGGTACTTGTTAAGAAGCCCAACGGCAAGCTTCGCGTGTGTATCGACCCTCAGCCACTAAATAAGGCTTTGAAACGCAGCCACTACCCTCTTCCGGTTATCGACGATCTCCTGCCGGACTTGTCAAAAGCTAAAGTCTTCAGTGTGTGTGACGTTAAAAACGGGTTTTGGCATGTCGAGTTAGATGAAGATTCAAGCTATCTAACAACGTTTGGCACTCCATTTGGTCGGTACCGGTGGCTGAAGATGCCATTTGGCATATCACCCGCACCGGAATATTTCCAACATCGTTTGGATCAAGCCATCGAAGGCCTTCCCGGTGTGCGCACAGTTGCAGACGACATCCTCATCTCGGGTGAAGGTGACACTGTGCAAGAAGCAGTGAAAGATCACGACAAAAAACTGCTAACTCTACTTGAAAGGTGCCGCGAAAAGGGAGTGAAACTGAACAAGGAGAAGTTCAAGTTGAAGATGACAGAAATCCCCTACGTTGGTCATGTGTTAACAAGAGATGGACTAAAACCAGACCCATCCAAAATAGACGCCATCAAAGGCATGAGGCGACCAACAGATGTGAAAGGTGTACAGCGGCTTGTTGGTCTAGCGAATTACCTGACGAGATTCTTAAAAAAGCTGGCAGACATTTGCGAACCTCTGCGACAGCTAACGCGCAAGGATGCAGAATGGCACTGGAGCGACGTCCATGAGAGCGCCTTTAAGAAGATCAAAGAAGCAGCTTCCCAAGCACCTGTCCTCCGATACTTTGATCCCGCCAAAGAGACTGTACTTCAATGCGACGCCTCGGACACTGGACTTGGAGCTACGCTTTTACAAAATGGTCAGCCAGTGGCATACGCATCGCGATCCCTGACGGATACAGAACGCAACTATGCGCAAATAGAAAAAGAACTGCTAGCCATAGTGTTTGGAGCCGAGAAGTTCAACCAATACACTTATGGTCGCAAAGTGATCGTTGAGAGCGACCATAAACCACTTGAAGTTATTTACCGCAAACCTCTCGTGGCCGCCCCCAAGCGTCTACAACGAATGCTACTTCGCCTGCAGAAGTATAACCTCGAAATTGGTTTCAAGCCAGGCCAGCGCATGTATCTGGCAGACACACTCTCTAGAGCACCCCTTCCCAACACCACATCGCGCGATGAAGTGCTAACCATCGACAAAGAAGTTGAAGAAATACATATGGTCGAGTTTCTGCCACTCCGCAAAGCTAGCCTAGACGATATCCGTAAAGAAAGTCTGCGAGACAGCATGATGCAAGCACTTCAGAAAGTCATTCGAGAAGGGTGGCCTGAGACCAAGATTGATCTCCCAAATGACGTCACGCCATACTTCAACGTTCGTGACGAGCTATCAGCGCAAGATGGAATTATCTTCAAAGGAGACAGATGTGTAGTTCCAAAATCCCTCAGACCAGAAGTCCTATCCAGAATCCACCGATCACATATTGGCGTGGAAGGATGCTTGAGACGCGCGAGAGAAAGCGTTTTCTGGCCAGGAATGAACACAGCTGTGAAGAACTTTGTCAGACAGTGTGAAACTTGTCGAACCTTTGAGATCTCCCAGCAGAAGGAAACACTCCACCCACATGAGGTACCTGACCGGCCATGGTCCAAGGTTGGTGTTGATCTGTTTGAGACAAACAACCGACATTACCTCGTGACCGTAGATTACCACAGCAACTACTGGGAAGTCGATAGGTTGGAGTCCAGTACAACATCTAAAGCTGTTATTTACAAATTGAAGCAACACTTTGCAAGGCATGGCATCCCGAACACTGTGTTTTCCGACAATGGGCCACAGTTTGATTCGGACGAATTCAGGAGATTTGCTCGAGATTGGGAATTCAATCATTTAACCTCAAGTCCCGGACATTCGCAGTCCAATGGTATGGCGGAAAGCGCAGTCAAGACTGTGAAAAGGCTTATTAAGAAGGCTAACAAAGATGGAACAGATCCTTGGCTCGCGATCCTCGACCACCGAAACACACCCACAGAAGGCATGAAAAGCAGTCCAGCACAACGACTAATGAGTCGTCGAACAAGGACCCTACTCCCAACAAGCGAGAAGCTCCTTAAACCCAAACTCGCCGAAAATGTCCAAGAAGGAAAATGGAAGACAAGAACCAAGCAGGCATTTTACTACAATAGAAACGCTCGAGATTTGCCACCACTGAAAACTGGAGACTCAGTGCGCATTCAGCCCACAAGCAACCCCAAGGCGCCCTGGAAGAAAGCCACTGTTCAGGAACAGGTGAACATGCGATCCTACAAAGTCCTCACAGAAGATGGCTCTGCCCTTAGACGAAATAGAAGGCATCTGAAAGCAACTACAAAAGAGTCTCACACGCCAACAACCCAGATGCCCAAGCAGACAGAACTTCCCTCGCCATCTAAACACATTGAACAAGAAACTAACGCCAGTGGTCACTCCAGCTCAGAAGTAGCGAAGCCACAGGAGCCAGCGATCGAGCAGCCTGCGACTGATCTAGCATCGCAAGCTTCCAAAGGCAACCAGACTCGCAGTGGTCGAATAACGAAGCCCCCGTCCTATCTGAAAGACTTTGTTCGTTAACCTGAGTCAGTGTCATGAGAGACAAAGACATTACCGGACTTGACTAGTTGATTCTTTTGGATAGTGGTTTTGATTTTTTTGTTTCTCATGTTTGTTTTGATTGTTCCGTTGTTTTCGTTTTGTTTCTTATGAAAGAAAGGATGTAACGAGAGCACACTCGTAGATCACGTGCACCTCAGGTGACACATGATACAGCGGTCGATGTTATCTAATCAAAAAAGGTTTTAGATCTCATATATCTACATGAGAGCGCACTTAGTTTACAAATAAAGACTGTTCGTTACCTAGAAATCGTGTGTTTATGGTAGAACGAAACACCAACCAAGTTTCCTTTCATAACTTAATTTCTTAAATGTCCCAATCACTGGATCTACCAAAAAATATTACATATTTTTATTTTTGGTGCAAATCACAAGTCCTTCTTTATATAAAAATGAAAAGTGCTAGTCACACTTCAATAATAACAGCTCTTAAGTTTACTTGTTGTTCTTCTCTGTCTGTCAGCTATCAACAAAATTGTTTTGTACTTCGGGCAGTGCATAACTATTTGTGGACCAGAGTTCCAACACACCTCTGTAATCGCATATAGCTACTTCTGTCTCTTGTACAAATGTTTCTCCTTTGTAAGACGCACTCTACTCTGTTGTCAATACTGCTTTGAGTTCAGTGGAAACGACTGACTGAGGAATCGAGATGGCGGTGTTGGAACGTGTTGCTGAACGCTTGCTACGGTCAAGCTTTGTAGATTTAGGTACTGGTACACTGGGATCATCTATGTATCCTTTATACTTCCGAATGTGGTATCCTTCTTTTATAAACATGAGGGTAAAAGACGATTTATAGTCGCATTCAAAACTGTGATTGGCTTGTGTTATTTCTCACCTTTGCCATTAACACAACTCAAGTGAGTTTCGAGTCTTTGTTTCCTCGACAACTTTCGGCCACAAATCGTGCATTTGTAATACGATCGATTCTTGTCGATTATTTCTACATAGAGTGAGCTCACATCTTTATTTATATCACCAAGCTATCCATCTTCTAAAGGCAGAGAACCGGTCGGAGAAGTCAGAATAAAGTTGGGCGCTTCTCTTTCTCTTAACACTGCAATCGGCAAGCCAGCGGATTCACTTTGCTAGCCAATGACAAGTCCTAAAAGATCCACGTGATCATGCCCGTGATCGGAAACAAAGAAGACTCCATTTGGCGCTCATCTTTGAATGTACTTTTCATCGGTTGATCGCTTTTCTCAACTGTTTTGCTTAATATAACATTTCTAAAGATAGCTTTTATTGTGGCTCAATGGGAAAACGAGAATAGCGTGAGTGTTGTAAAAGAAAAGAAAGTCGTTGGCGCCGTGGAGTTAAAAGAAGGGAAAACAGTTGACATATGGACTGGTACAAACATGGGTCGAGTGGCCATCTGTAAAGCTACGATTTTGAAAGTTTGTGGTGAGTAAAAATTGCGATATTCGTTACGTGATCAAAATCTTGTAAAAGAATAGATGTAGCGGGTTGAATTAAGCTTACATAACGCTCGGCGCAACTGAAACTAGACTAATTCTGAGAATCGAATCGGTCACTTGCATGCCGCAGTTTCTTAAGCTTATGCTTTACAATGAAATAAACCTATCAGTAAGGTTTCAAGATTCCTCTAGTCACGTTTGGGAACATTCAAGATTCATAATAGGAACTGTTATTAAACAAACCTTAGTACATAAAGAAGCCCTCCTTGGTAAAAACAAAATAATGTATTCAGCCCTTTTTTAGTAAAATCCATGAGAGAGATGTACTAACTCCAATATAAAAGTCACTCAATATAACAGAGATTTCTCAATTTGAGAATCCAACGAATGCCCTTTTCCTCATAGCCATCTTAAAAGCCTGGTCTGAGCTTTAAATATACATATTTTAGTATACTTTTTTTTTTCCAAATTCAGATGTCAAGGAATCCAGATACAAAATGGTCAAGGTTCTTGTTGACAACCTCATTCAAGGCCAACTCATTGTGAGCCCAGGAAAAAAATACAAACAGTACAAACAGCAGCTAAGTTTGCAGTTTAGGATAACTTCATTGTAATTTATTGTTACAGTTACAACAAGATTTTAATCAAAAAATCAATTTTATTTGTCTGTAATTAGCCCCTTCACTCCCAAGAGTGCTTGGTTTTCAAATATAACTTAAGATATTGTATTTTATGGAAAAGAATCAACAGATTTTATTCACAATTTGTGTCAAACCAAATTTAATGATTGATTAGAACTATTTTATATGAATAGCTGTAATTGAGGATTAATCCGTATGAAGTTTTCAAGAAAAGAAAAATAAATCAAATTCCATCCTAATATTACCACACATTGATGTTAATAATTAATCAAAAATATTTTACATATAAGCCTTAATTAAGCTTCTAAATAAATTTTATTGAATACTTGAATTTTAGCTGGGTTTTTTTAATTTAAAGTATCTATTTTATATCATTAGCCTCATATTTTTGCTTAAAATTCCCAGTAATTCTTAAACATTCCTAAAAATTCCCAGAAATTCCCAGAAATTCCTAGGAATTTTTTAGATTTACAGCTTTTCAGGGAAAGTCATTGGTTCTCTGAGTCGGAATTCCTAGGAATTCCAAGTCCTGTTGGCTATAAACTTGGAATTTCTGGGAATTTCTAGGTTTTTAGAACCAGAGTTGTTATGGTTGGGAATTCCTAAGAATTCCTAGGAATTCCCAGTCCGAATTTACCGTGAAAATTCACACCTTTATTCCTAGGAAAATCCTAGGAATTCCAAAAGCCATTTCGCAAGGGTAACACTATTCTTCTGAAGACTCATTAAATGTGTTTAGGTTTTCCACAAAAATCATGTTACTGTTCATTTTAATTAGGATCTTTTTAATCCATGAAAGATTATTTCTGATCCAAAAACTTCTCTTGAGTGATCAAATTAATCAAACAGCTTTCAGTTGTCAAGATAACAAAAAAATGTTTTCTCTGCTTCTGAGCCATATATACATGTTAATCACTTTTTTACCAGTGCAATGCTTTATTCCAAGCATTTTTGGTTTTCTATTTACTGTTATGTGAAGAAAAATAAATTATCATGGCCATGACGAAAACAAGTTTCCAGTTTTTCCCCACAAGGTCTGCCTGACTAACATCCTACAAAATTCCATAACATTTTTGAAGTACTGTGGGAGATCAGAGGTACTGTCATTGGTTAGAAAAGATGTCTGTACTCCCCTTTTGCATTTCATCAGGCTTCCCTGACAATTAATCAGTACCCATTTATACTCCTGGGTGGAGAGAGGCACGGGGAGAGTAAAGTGTCTTGCCCAAGAACAAAACACATTGACTTAGCCAGGTCTTGAACCCAGACCTCTGGACCCAGAGTCCAGTACACTGAACATAGGCAACAGTATGTCTCCCACTGTTGTTAGTAAATGGCAATGTTCATCATTTACAAAAAAAGAGTACGGTGCTCTCCTAGGGTCACTCTCCTTTTGAATTAAATAAAGGCCCGGGTCGCACGAGAGCTTTTTTTGTTATTGTTTAAGCAAAAAAACCTGTCAACAAATAGTGTAAAATAAGAGCAACTCCCAGTTTTCAAAACTTTGCCAAATTTTTGCGGATCACCATAATTTTGCCAATCCTCAAAAGAGCCATGTCCTGCCTCTGAGGCCTCCAAATTTTGGCAAACCAAACTATCTTGATTTCTTTTTCACCATCTGGCTGTCATCATATGCAAGACATATTTAGATAAAATTTAAGCAGGAAAAATATACTGTGGTCTGTTAGACAGTGTAATTTGGTGCATGCAATGGGAAGACAATTTTTTTCCTTGTCCATCTGACCCTCAGTTTTCTTTGGAGGGAAACTAGGAATTTGATCAACATTTTTATTCTAATGTCTGGCTTGTACCCTATAGGCCCAGCCACTGGTGGCAATTTGGAGAACAATCAGTTTAAACAAGTACTTCTCCATTTGTTGGAATTATGGAAATGAAGCCAGCACGTGGTGCAAGCTGCAACCAAAAAGATTGGCATGAAAAAGAGAAAGCGCAGAATAATACATGGTCCTTGCAGTCTCAAACAACAACTCTGCTGAATGCAGAGTCCTCGCCCAAGGATGGTTTTGAAAGTGAGCTCTATTTACGCAAACTCTTCGCCTTCTATGTCTAAAAGCTGATACTAGCTGCATAGAAGCCCGCTGATAATGTACCAACAATATAAAAAACACTATGTTGTTTTGCTGAGAAAGAAATGCAAAATTCCACAAAAAACCAGAAAGCTGCAAAGATAATCTTTTAATGACAATCCAATTCTTGCCCAGTAATTTGAGCAGGAATTTTTCTTTATCTTTTAATAGAAGGAGATGGGTTTGTGATTGACATATGTGTCAATTGATGAAGTTTTGTTCAGAGGATACTAGTTTGATGCAACTGCCACCAAAAATTGGAAATTTCAAGATTTTTACCAATTTTTGGCTTGCAAAAAATTGGCAAATATTTTAATTCACTCCAGTGTGACCCAGCACATAGATAAACAGGATCATGTTCCTAATACAATTGCTCATTTGATGGTATATATTGATCCCCTTTGAAAATAAACTCTATTAAAACTACTTTTTTGGCAAGCAATACAGCATGGTGCAATAAGAGGAAAAGTGTTACAAATTAAGGTTTCTTCCTTGGTCTACACATAATTCTATTTCAAAGACTGTTGGTATTATCACTAACTGCAAGACAACAAAGATTCAATCACTTGCCGTTTTCATTGTGTAAGTAAAGAAAACATCAATGTTTTGGTTCTGATTCCAGGAAAGTTACCTCCTCAGTAAAATATAGTTTGTACACAACTTTCAAGTTAAAATGCTCAATTAATTATTAGCAAAGAAATGTGTAGCAGCTGGAGGGGAGAATTGGCAATCAGATCTTGGGTTCACTACCCAAGAGGGTATAAGAGAGATTAAAAATAACCTGCAAGTGTTCACTACCCAAGAGGGCAT